TGTAGTTGTAATAGCTACGTGAGATATTTTTGCCTACAATCCTTCATCCTGTCTTTTTAAAGTAATCTTTATTAGTTATACATTTTTTTAAGAATAAAACATACAAATACAAATACAATTTTAAACATACAATCCTTCATCCTGTCTTGAGCACTGCATGTCCTGTCTTTTGAACTGTAATCTAAAAAGTGTTAAAAATTTAAATAACAGAGACTGTCATGGTGCTGGCATTTCAAAAGAACTTGATGGCCAACCAGCCTGCTCTTTAAAATAACACGCTTTGCACCAGCATCATCCCGGTTAACCTCTTTAGAAAGACGGTGCACAAATATTTCAGCCAGAAGACATTCAAAGCCTCTCCGAGCTACTTACCCCATCCCAGGATTCCCAAGCCGTTCACCATGGTTGTGTGAGAATCTGTGCCAATAACACTGTCGGGATAGAGGAAGTTTTTGACATCAAACACTACTCTTGACAGGTGTTCCAGATTCATCTGATGGACCATTCCTGTCCCGGGAGGAATTACCGAGACATTTCTGAAAACTTTGGAACCCCACTAGTTTAATTCATGAAAAAGAGAGACAGACAGACAGAAAAAGCGTGTTAGTTTCACACTTTCTAAATCAGTAATTCCCACTCTGGCACCTCCCCAATAAATGGCATTGAAAATTCTGAGAATTGCAGTGCCAAAAGAGGCTGGCTAATTCCCTTCATAGTTTCTTTTTCTGTAGCAAGTGGGGATTAATATGAGAATTTGCTACGTCCGTTAATACTGAAATCCCCCCTCTTTATAGTAAGAGAAAGAAGAGGGGTGATCAGTTCTGATCTTGGCAATTCTTTATTGATCCATTTCTCACTCCCTTTCTTTCAACTTCTCCTGGGTCACGCTGCCTTCAAAGCGACATACCTTAAAAAACTGGAGTCTCTCTTTATTTCTTCCAAATTCTATCTCTTGATTCTTAAATACTGTTTCAGGCCTAAGGAGATGAAAAGAGGGGGGCATATTAAAACTGTTATTTGCAGTGCTTAGAAAAACAGCCCAAAGAAACATTTTTTCTTGCTAACATTTCAGGAAATATTGCACAAAGAAAAAAAGAGAACGTTATGGTGTCGAAGAGATATTTCCCATCTGTCCTTAGGCTTTAAGGTTTGATTTTAATTATTTATGTTTCAACTAGATAGATAGATAGATAGATAGATAGATAGATGATAGATAGATAGATAGATAGATAATGAAAGAGAAATGACAGACAGACAGATGAGAGAGAATAGCTAGACAGACATTCATTCATTCATTCATTCATACATACATACATATTTTGATGGCTATATACCACGCAGTTACCCTATGGTAAGATGAGCGGCCAATAAATTTTATAACAAACAAATACATAAAAAATTTCCCGTCAGTGAAAATTCTTTGCCCCAAAGATGGTTTTGATATTGGTTCTCAAGTAAGCTTCATACATGTGTACGGTTTGGATCTGGGTAGAAGCCAGTCTCGCTAGCTTTCAGTTTTTGACTGCAGAAGAGGAATAACCCTCCAAAGCCAGGAGGGAAATTTAAAAAGGCAAGCTTACTCAGGCACTGGTTGAAGATGAAAAGGACACAAGAGGGGCGTGTTCTCAATCTGCACAGAAAGCTGCCCCGGGTTCCGCTTTGATTCTCCGTCGCACGGTCCTTTGCAGCTGGACTGGCCTCGGCACGGCAGCTTCCGAGGAGCTTTGAGCGGGGAGAGTTTTGAGGGAGGGGGCCGTGGGGGATCGCCGCCTCCGGGATTTGGAGTGTTCTGTATTGCACTAGACGAAAATGAAATGGAAAAGAACGCTTTGTTCGCTGCGATCCTTTAAATCCTCCTTATGCTAAAGTAGAATATATGCATACTTTTTATAGGAACATTAGAGATTTGTTTTTAGTCTCCTGGCAAAAGGAAGCATAGATTTGATGCACGTGTGTGTGTGTGTGAGAGAGAGGGGGGGGGAGAGAGGGAGGGAGGGAGATTCATTTGGGAAATACCTATCTAATATCCTGGTTCCCTTATACTTCAATATCTGATTGTGTCCATGGGAACGGAATGTCCCAGAAATCATGCGATATTACCTAGTCATGGGTAATGAAACATCTGCAAGAAAACAAGCAAGCTCAGAGTACCAAGGAACCTTCAAGTGTGTTTGTTTGTGTGTGTGTGTGTATGTGTATGTAAGTTTCTCTATTCCTATTTCAAATGCAAGAGGATTCAGTGTATTTCAATTAGATCAACTCAGCATCTTAACAAAACCACATTTTCGATTCTGCCCACTTAAGGACAAACGTGCCACTATCAAGATAGGGCCCCATCCACCCACCCCCAACAAAATATAAGGAAGCCGAGAATTCAATGGATACCATTTGTTGAAGTCAATCTGCAAAGAATGGTCCACGGTAAGATCCGTAGGGCAGACCGGATGGACTCGCGTGGGATCTCCTCCGAGGTTCTTCACCGCTTCCCTCATGGCAGCAAAATCCACCATTGCAGGAATCCCACTGACATAACAGGAACAATGTTTTCTACTTAGTACCTCTATGAAGCCAGCAGTGAACATTCAAGCCACCTCTTCAAGAGGATTAACAGCGATTCTAGCTATGGTTTAAGTCAGGGGTCTCCTAAACTTGGCAACTTTTAAGACTTGTGGACAGAATTCCTCAGCCAGCATGGGAGAATTCTAGGAGTTTGAAGTCCACAAGTCTTAAAAGTTGCCAGGTTTAGGAGACCCTCTGGTTTAAGCCACGGTGGCTGAATTCACACGTTGCTCTACACAATGCAAATGATGGTGGATGACTGTATTTAACAAGCGAGTCCCATCGTAAGCGGACCAAGAAAACAACAAGCTCAGTAGTATACTGGATTTACAAATCTATCAATTAGACACACAAAATTCCTGTCTGAATGCCTGTATGGAGCTATCCTGAAACATCCAACCTGCTGCAATGACCTTCCATTATTTCAATTCTAACAGACTTCTGCTGGTAATTGCTTAGGAAGCACTGCCAGGATAAACTCATACGACCTGAATTTCTGGCCATCTAAATTCTCGGAAAGACCCACCCAGGACATTTAGAAAAACTCATCAGGTTCTAACTAAAATAGACGAACCCAGGGGGGAAAGTGGGTCTTACGTGAAATCTTGGAGCAGGACTCTGGCAGGACAAAAGGGCACTTCAACATTGTTCTGTTTGGCTGGCCAGTCCAGGATATTCATCACGTCTCCTTCTTTCACTAGGAAACCATCCCAGTTGCGGACAGCCGTCTCCAACATGACCCGTATGGTGTAAGGCAAGAGATCTGCAAATGGACAGAGGAGCTAAATGGCTTGAGGGTAAACACTTGTGCGAGTATTCCTGCTATAGGCTTCTTTCTAAACCCAGGAAACTTTTGTAAGCACAAAATGTGTGTGTGTGGGGGGGGGCATTGAATAGAGCAGGGATCTCCAAACATGGCAACTTTAAGAGTGATGAATTGTTGAACTCCACACGTCCCAAAGCTGTCGTCTTTGGAGCCCCCTGGAATACAGGGATTTTTGTCTGGAGAGATAAAGAGCAGTGGTGCAACACAATACGTACAACTGAGCTAGACTAACAGGTTAATTTGACATAAGGCAGCTGCTATGTCCTGATTACAGGCAGTCCTCAACTTAACAACAGTTCATTTAGTGACCGGTCAAAGTTACAATGGCACTGCACTGTAAACAAATGGTAATTGAATTTCTTTTCCTTTAAACATCTTTTGGAAATATGTGAAACTTTAATAAGCATTTGCTGGTTATTCTTGGCATTAGTTTTCTTACGGCTGAGTATGGGCCAGGAGTTAAAGAGTCCCCATGTCCTACTCTTGGATTTTAAATCTGGCAAGCATGTATTTCAATAAACCTATTTAATGTTGCTTACTGAAAAGCGCCTGACCTATTGCAAACAGTAGGGAGGGCTGCTAATTAGAGAACCCTTCAAAAATAAGATTGCTAACTTTATTAAGTATTGTAGTCCAGGTGAGAGCAATTGCAGAAGAGGTAAGCAACAAATTATGAGAACATTTGTCTAAGGGCAGTGGAAATTTCTGCAAGTCTGTGACACGTAAACAAGCTTGCAACCATCACCTTGGAAAGAAAAAAGCAATTATTCTTTTTAATAAGCATCAAGAAAGCCTGTGTTAGTAGAGCCACATCATAATTTTTCAGCTCTGAAGGTTGCTGCAGGCTTCACTAGTTTCATTTAAATGAAGCGTTTTCTAAGGCATAATTTCTCCCTCATTAAGTGATTCATCAAAGGCTAACCATATAGAAAAGTATTTAGGAACTGCCAAGAGTATTTGCAGTTTGGGCTGTTGAGTAAGAAACAGACATTCCCTAACATGGTTTCTTATTAGAAAACATACACTCAGGTGACTACCAAACCATTTTACAACTACCTTCAAGGTTTTCAATGTGACAGAGAACCACAAACAGTTCATCAATAACTGAAAGGCTCTGATCTCCACTTTCAATATTCGTATGGGGAGATTTCACACGTATCAAGGAATCAAATCCATGATTTAACGCACTCCCGTTAGGGAAGGAAGGCAGGAGATAAATGAAATAACAAACACAATTTGAAAGACCAGATGAACAATCCAGCTCCTCTTCCAGAAAACCCCTTACAAGTTTGTCTAGTGTAAATTAAATATCTGCTCCTCCTGGGCACCTTTTGGAAGGAAGGTGAGCAATTAATAGACCCCTGTCATGCTTTTTAGAGACAGTTTTGTATGGTCAACTATCTGCTTCTTGAAAAGTACTTATAGCAAGCAGAATTTCTGTTCTTTTTCTAAAAGATAAGGACGACAGCAACGAGACAACACCCATCTGAACCAACTGATAAAGACTATAATTCTGAGTAATCTTTTCTACAGTCCTCTGAAATTCACTAAATGGATTCCATTAATTTGAAAATACACCAATACCGTTCAAGCGGAAAGAAAGGAATACATTTGGACCAAGGAAGACAATTTCTGAATGTCTAGTGACCAGAAGGGTTAATTTTATTTTGCCACTTATGAAAGGGCTTTCCCACAGCTCCAAAAAAGAGCTACCAGAAATTAAAGTGAAAAAAAAACTTTCTTTAGCATAAAAAACACATTCATGGCCCACTGCAGTTACTTTAAAGGAGGCTGTGTCTACGTCTAACTGGAATTTGAATATCCAGGAAGAAGGAAATTAATACCAACCTTAGAAACATTTACTCAAAGAGTTTTAATAGAGAAAGCATTTAGGATTATAACTCAGCAGCATAATCCCAAGAATGGTTCAAGTAACAAAGCCACCAATCCCCAAATTCGTTTTAAGACTACTTAAGAAAACTTAAAGAGGTTAGCTTTATTAGGTTTATATTAAAAAGACACAACTGCAAAGTTATTTTTTACCATATTTGGTGCCTCCTAGTTTAGCAATGTTGTAGAACTTTTTGTCTGCATCGTCACTCAGTGTTTCAATTAAGTGCTGGAACAGGTGTCCTGAAAAACAAGTCAGATTATTAAAATTATTTGATATGTGTATGTATATGTAGTTGGACAGGAAGGCTGCAATTCTATCCATTTTCATTCCATTTCATTCCATTTTGAATAATACCCACTAAATCCACTGGAATTCACTACTAAACTATAAAAAATTAGTAATAAATATTTAGGTTGCAAGACTAAATGTTTTCCTGTATTTTCCCTATCAATAATTTGCAGTGGAATGTTATATGTTTTAAATACTTTTATCCTAATTTAAATGCAACTTAAATACCACATAATAGATTCTATATATAACCTTAATTTTCTCTAGAACACTAAATATGCAGGTCTAATTCTACTTTGGTCTAATTCCATTGAGTCACATCCAGGTTTAATCATACTTGGAGACTGAAAACAATAGAGCTTAAATCTTGAGTAACAAATCCCACTGATGTTGATTCACAATTAAACTTAAGACCAAACTCATTGTCTTCATTAATACATGATAAACTACATTTAATATTCTAAAGACAAAACTTCAACTTTTTAAAAAACAAAATGTTAAACAGCACAACATATATTCTTTATGTAAAATTACTACTTGAGAAATTGTAGAGAAAGTTGCCTTTATCTCCACTACACTGAGTGAAGTTTACTAAGAGACATAGAAGAGGATGATGGGAACTGTCATTTAACAGTTCTGGAAGTGGAATGAATTATATATAGCCCAAGGGAAAAAGGACAAGGATGATGGGAACCACCGTTTAACAGATTGGTGATGGGAACTGTAGTCTAAGGCCCTTGGAAGGGGATGATGGAAACAGTTTAATAGACCTCAAATGAGGACGATGGAAACAACAGCCCAAGGTCCGTGGAAGGGGATGATGGGAACTGTTGCTTACAGTCCTGGAACAGCAATGACAAGAACTGTAGCCCAAGGGAAATGGACAGGGATGATGGGAACTACTGTTTGATAACCCTGGGATGGGGGCGATGGGAACTGTAGTCCAAGGCCCATAGAAGGGGATGATGGTTGTTTCAGAGCTGGAATGGGGATGCTGAGGCGCACAGAAGGGGATAATGGTTTCATAGTCCTGACAGGGGGGGTGGAAATGGACAAGGATGATGGGAGTGGTTGCATCCCAGCCCTGCAAGGAGAATGGGAACTGCACCCCAAGGGAGACAGGAATTGGAGCCCAAAGCCCAGAATGGGGGGGTGATGGGAACTGTAGTCCCCCCTTTACATGTATCTTTGGAGGGGGGACGCCAGGCTGGGAAAGCCCCCAAAAACTGGTGGAGGGGGGAGTAAAGAAAGGCAAGCAAGGGAGAAAGATGGCTGACGGCCCTCCCCCTCCCTTTTATCCAAGGGGGAGGGGAGGCCGGTGGAGACGGGCACAAAGGGAAAGGGGACATTTTGCCACCACCCCCCCGCCCCCTTCCCTCATCGCCACTGACCTGCCCGGGCCGCCTCCATGTTCCTCTCCCGAAGAAGGATGCCACGGGAGTTGTGAGGGCGTGGGGGAGGGAAGAAAAAGAACCGGGGGGAGGGGGCGAAGCCCTCCCCTCAAAGACCGCGAGGAACGAGGGAGGGAGACAACCGGCGGGCCCCCTCAGCGCCTCCGCCCGGCCCTCCTCCCCGCTCCCTCATTGGGCTCTGCCGGTTCTCGCGAGAGCTCCGCCGCCCGCAAGAAAGGAAAGCGGCGGCAACTCTCGCGAGGTTTCGGTCCGGCGCGAGGGGCGGTGCGCGCGTGCGTCCGTCCCCGCCCCTCCTCCTCCTCCTCCTCCTTTTTTCCTCCTCCTCCTCCTCCGTCTCTGTTCAAGGATAGCGGCTCAGGCAGCGAGAGTTCAGGGCGAATATCTCGCGGGAGTTGAGACGCTCTCGCGGCTTTGGCTACTGTTCCTTGGCCGCCAGGGGCAGGCAAGCGCCTACGTTCGCCCACCGAGAGGCAAGCGCCTACGTTCGCCCACCTCTGAGCATGCGCCGTCTTCTCGACCTCTTCAGATGCGTTCTCCGCGAGGGGGGGAACTTTTGTCACCCGCTCTTAGGGTCGGTCGGAATGATTTGGAAGCCGGACTAGAAGCAATTAACTTTGGTGGTGAAGGAGGCATGGCAGGAGCGGGAGCCGATTTAAAGTCCTCGCTGCTGAAGCACCGGCGCACGACCCTCGAACGGGTGGAAAAGTTTATTTCGCAGGATTATTTTGTGGATTGTAACCTCCGGGGAAGGTGGGTTTGGGCTGGTCCGTCTGCTAAATCCTTCCCCCTCTTTCCTCCCCC